GTCGCAAGAGGTCATAACTTGCAGACGGGTATCAAAAGCACTGCTCGACTATGACAAGCAACTGTGCAAACAAGATGCTCGAAAAGGAAACAGACGTTGGCAGACAGATGACAGCGGTCTGAAACCTAAAGCAGCTGATGTGAAACTGGGTAGGGGGATAACGGCCGGGCTAATCATGAAGGATTCAATACAGGGTCGAAAAGTGTGGTTGACCCCGGTCGTTCGTAGGGACTCCCTGCAAGTGCCAAAAAGTGGGTCAGAAGGGCGGCTGCTTGCAACCAGGGTATCAATTTCGGTGATGCGGCCGGATACTTCTTAAGGAGAGCCCTCGCGCCTCGATTTCTTGACCCTCTCGATTCTTTCGTTCCAACGTCTTTTTCCGACGCGGGTCTCAAAGTGCGGAGCTACTTGGGCCACATCCTGGCCTTGACCCATCATGCTGCTTCTCATCTTGTTGCGGTAAGCATCAACTATCACACGTTAGTACATCTGTCTCTTGAATACATGGGTCGCGACTTGGTTGCTTACGAGACTTTTGTAGGAACAATGTCCTTCCAGCGAAGACACGACTTTGGCTCCAGCTCATGCGGTATCCAAGGTCATTGAGAGTAATTTCCTTGGATCGCTTCGAACGAGTAAGCCGCGGCTTCGGGACACGCGCCTCGCCATCGAGCGTTGGCACTGGCACAATGGTAGAACCGGCCAAAGGGAAGCTGGGGTCGTCCTCGACATCAGGCTCATCAGCAAACACCTTGCTGCCACGGGGGCTCGCAGGTGGTGATGTCATTTGCATGGCAAAGTAGCTGCGCGGGAAGACGGAGTTGGACTTGCGGTAAGAGTCTGGCATCTCTTCCATCTTGACCGTGTCAAGAGTAACTCGCACGCGAACTCTAGTTCCGCGCTGCGCGTCATCAACGAGAATAAACTTGCGGCGCTTAGAGTCAGGTAGGTCGCCAAAAATGGCTAGTTTGCGTTCTTCTTCATCTTGCTCCTGCTGTTTTGAGACCGCTACACCTGCCGCATGAGGTGGAGGCGGGGGGTGACTTAATCCGTCATGAATTGGCGGCATCCCACCCGTTCCCGCAGCGGAATCGCTGGCAGGGAAGTTGGGGTAGAAATTCTGCGTTGTGCGCACATCCGGGGGCGATTGTTGACCATTTGGCGCTTGGTGGTGATGAGTGTGTGATTCACCGTATTCATTGGCTGTACACAAAGAAAGTTAGCTTGCACGTCCGAACAAAAAGGTCATACTTTTTTTTGCCAAAATCATCCCGCGCAGAACAAAACAACAACCATATGTGACTATGTGCGTGGTGGGTATATGCATACATGCATGTGGGGTAGGTAGTATCGAAAGGGGTATTACATCAAAGAGTGTAATAATGTACATGCAGTGAAAGAACGACAAGAGGTATCATTTAACAACCAACAACAATTACGCTTTATCACATCACATCTGGTGAAACATACCGCTAACATCATCCGGTCCTCCGTGAGGCCCTCCTGGCCCATCATGGTGATGATGCATCTGGGGACCACCCATGCCCATATTTGGTCGGGGTGGTGCAGTTAGTCCGGCAGAGTTGGGAACCCCAGGCGCACCTGGTCCACCTGGTCCAGCCATGTGGTTACCATGTGTAGCCGATTGGGCTTTCCTCGTGGTCATCTTGGCCATTCTGCGCACGCGACGACTCCTCAGTCGCGGGTCCTGGTTGCTGTTCCGCCAGCTGTCGACGGCGCGTTGAATGAGACCACGCTTTCCGCGCAGGCAGGGGTTGAGTTGTGCAAGAGCCCAGCCAACAGTGTTGCACTCCGTCTCGTAATGGAGACGATTGCCCTTGTACTGGTCCTTGGCGCAGCAAGCGCGTGGGTATACACAGTTCTCAGTCTTGAAGTCTTGGGGAAGCTCGTCAACATTGACAGACTCGACGTCACAGCGGATCGTGTACTCCATCTTGACCCTGTCGCGCGAGTACTCAAAGGCAATCCATTGAACGCCGTTTTGGTCTTGTCGAACAACCAAGGGAGTGGTTGCAGGAATGGGACCAGGCGCAGCGTTGGGGTTGACGTTGGGTCCTCCTGGGGGACCTGGATGCATGTTTGGTGTACCAACAGGAGGTCCTTGAGGTGTGGTTTGAGGTGGGCCTCCCAGTCCTGATGGCGGCCTTTGGAGCGGCGTCTGTGACATTCGTGGCTTTGGGCTTCCAGTCATTCCCGGGGTCTGTGGGTGATGCGGGTGTTGATGCTGCATCTGCTGGTTTTGCTGATGAGACATGAGCAGAGACTGCGAGGCCATTGGTTGCTGAGGCGCGCTTGAAGGGTGCTGTTGGTAAGGTGACGGTTGGGGTACTGGCGCAGATGCATATGGAGTGTAGTACATGGACTGAGGCATCTGGCTAGGCGGTTGCCCGTAAATGGGCCTGCCATGCTGGTCATGCTGAGGAGATTGAACAGAAGCTGGCGAGTTTGACTGTGGGGTGTGATATGAGATCGGTGGGTATCCGCCCCGATTCATCGTTGCGGCCGCCATGAGCTCTGGGGTTTCTGGAGCAAAAGTCAGGTCAACGCGTTCATTTTGATGGAATATACAACGGGGGGCATCCAGGTCTAATCGTCATAAAGGCGGCACTTGCGCGCGCACGCGTGGCGCGCATTGAGAAGGAAGGTCTGAGCTGAAAGGATCAGAAAAGAAGCAAAACCAACATACCTGACGAAGAATAGTTGCTGGGCGCACTGTTGGTGCTGTAGGGGCTGGGGTGGTGCTGCGAGTAATAGGGAACCTCCTGCTGCTGTTGCTGTTGCTGCTGCTGCTGTTGCTGCTGCTGGGGAGGCTGGGGCTGCGGTGGAGGAGGTGGTGGCGGCCCTTGCTGGCTTTGGATCTGCTGAATGTAGGGCGACTGGTGCTGAGGAGGTCCTTGTGGGGTTGGGTGCTGGGGCGATGGGTAGTGTGCCTGTGCCGGGCTCTGTGACGGGACCGACTGGTGGGGAGAGTCGGGGTGGTGTTGCTGGTGCTGGTGGACAACGCCAGGCCTGGGATGGTGCACCGGCAGATGATTTGGCGGTGGCAAGCCCTGGGCAGAGTGTGGGTGATGCTGAAGAAACAGACCAGGTCAGTAAGGCTGCAGGTGCAGAATGAGAAGGAAAAAAAGATTGGGCGACAGAAAAAGCAAGTGGTAAGAGGGAGCAAAAGAAAGGGCGAGGTGGTGATGATGATCAGTGCAGGGAGTGGCAGCAGGTGTAGAAGCTTGGTGGTAGTGGTGGTGGGGGCAGGTGGGGAGGCTGTGGTTGGGTGGTAGACTAGGGTGTAAGGGCAGTGATGTGCTGCAACAGGACCTAGGCGAGGGGCAGGGTCTGGAAAAAGACAGGAGGGTAGGGTATAGTTTATAGGATGGGAAGGGCAGGCTAATGAAGGCAGGGCGGTCTTTTGGCAAGCTTGACAAGACAGCGCAGAGGAGCGGTGGGCGGCGGTGGGCAGCGTAGGGCTACACTATGGAGGCCGGGGTGCCGCTGCTGGCCGTTGCGTGACAAGAGGCGGCGGACTGGCTTCAGAAGAAGCCAGGACAGCGACAGCGATGGTGACAGGGGAGGGGGGGTTGGGTAGTAGCAGGGCAGCTTGGCGGGAAGGGCGTACCATGTAGGCGAGCAGAGGCGCCGGTGCTGGGGGTGGTGGGTGTTTGTGTGGACGCGGCGTGCAGTGGCTGCTGCAGGATGCAAAGGGCGAGGATGAAGCTGCCAACGGCGGCGAGGGTTTTAGGGACGCGGCTTCAGACGCGCTGGTCGAAACACCAACGGTCGAGGGTGCAGAGGGCGCGACGGGGTTGCAGTGGGAAGCGAGCGCGAGGGCGTGGATGGGATGCGGGAGCGAGGGTGGTGCGGTAGGGGTGGACAAGGAGCAAGAGTCGACTCACCATCTTCTGCGACGCTACAGGCGCCTGGTCTTCCTTATAGTTGCGGGCCCTATCTGGGATTTTTGGCTGCGACATTGTTATGATTGCGCGGTGGGAGTCGACGTCGAAGGATCCGGGCAGCGAGGGTCCGGGCGCTGGTGCGATGGACGAGGATTGCGAAGAGATGCAGTAGCGTGGCCTGCGCAATTTCAGGCGCAGAGCAGGCGGCGCTAGCGACGGCTAGGGAATGGGAGCGAGGCCCAGGGCGGGCAGCGTGTGAGAGAGTGCGAAGGCGGTGGGGCGGCCGCGGTGGAGACGGTCGTTAAATCAACTTGGAACAGCTAACACGGCTCCCGACGCCGGCCCTGTCCCTGCCCTGCTGCACGCTCGGACACAGGCCTGTTTCGAGCGGCCTGCCCGGCTCTGCCACCAGAGATCGCCGAATTGCTGCGCCGCCGGGGCCTGCTGCTGCGTATCCTCCTGCTCCCCGTCCCATGCCTCTCGCTGTCTGCCTGCGCCGCCCGTCGCGCTTTCCGGGCGCCCGCACGTGACCCTCCTCTGCCACTGCCACTGCCGCTGCTTGGCGCCTCCGCCAGCTCGTGCTGTGCTCTTACGACGCGTCTGCGTCTGCTCTGCGTCTGCGTCTCAAGTGGTGGCGGCCGCGCTGCACGAGTGGGGAAGACGCCGGCGGCCATGGGGCGGTCAAGGCAGGCGCAGCTTCTATTTTCAAACTCTGCCTAGTGCCTCTGCCTGCTGCCCACGCCGGCGTCTGCCAAACCACCACACACACACGCCCTCACCCACGCCCGCCGCCTCTTCCTGTCCTGTCTTGTCGTGTCAAATCATAGCCATCATCCTCGCTCCATCCCCTTCTGTCCGCACCCGTCGTTTGCCCGCCTCTGGTCTTGCCAAGCACGCGCACCTGTCCCGCACACCGAGAGACCAAGACTGCTTTCTACTAACATTACTACCGTGTACACACACACGTCTACCCGGCCTGCCTGCCTGCCTGCTGCCTGCCGTCATGGGTCGCGGCTGCCCCCTCCCCCCCTGTCGCTCGGCTAAATCCTTCAAGATGGGCAGTCGCGACCCCACGGTACTTCCCTTACTCTCATGGCCGCTGTAGTAAGCATCCCAGCACCACCTAGCACTTAGCACCCAGCACCCAGCACCATAGCATGCTGGCCCCGGCCCTGCTATAGCAATGCACCATGCGGCCTTCATTTCGCCCCTGCAGCCTGTACTCACAATCCTCGCCCTCAGATCACAGCTCGCACCCGTCGCGGCCCTATCGGACGCGTCACTCACCCATTCTCCCACAGTTTTGCCGCGTGCTGTGTGTGGTGTGTGTGGTGTGTAGTGTGCGTGAGTGTGTGAGTGTGTGTGCGCCCTGCCCTCGAGTCCAATTCACCGCCGCTAGTCGACCGTTTGAGCAGTTGCACCACTCCGCCGCCCCGCCCTCTGCTCCGCCATTGGCCGCCGCTGCCGGTGAGGGCAGAAAAACACTCGCTCCCAACGTCGCGTACGGCGACTGGCCGATGCACGCCCGCATCCACCAACCGCCATGTACCGCACTCGAGATCGGCCACGCGATGCTCGTCACGGCAATGCCTCTCGGGAGCAGCGTCATGGGCGGCCTGGTCCAATCGCCGCTGATCGGCCCTGGGACGTTGCATCTCGCTCCCTCTGCGGAACCATGACACCGAACACAAACATCTGACCTCAGGGGCGTGGCCGCATCGTCTTCGGCCCATCTTCATGCCTGCCCCCATCAGCCCTGTCCGCTATCCGCAGATGCCCGGTCATGCGGCTATGGGCACCAAGTACGCAGAATTGCCTGTTACGGGCCAGAGTCGATGCGTCTATAATAAGTTAAATGACAATTTATGCTCAGCGCCCGCACTACGCCTCAAGAAACGTTACTGCAACAATGGGGGCGAATAGCCGCCGAAGCCCGTAAGAGCAATTCCCTTCTGCTGCACCGCTCGAGCCGACCCCAAAAGCCCGTCTCGGTGCATTAACTGCTTCGTCTCCCTATTTTCCCTGATTGCACATCTAAAGCCTGATTTTGATTTTGTTTCTGGCCTAGAGACGTGCGGGTGCTGACGGCGCCATGCACGCATCGAGTTACCTACATACAGACACAGCAATGCGCTGCATCCAGGGCCGGCCCTCCTTCGACGTCGCCGTCGTGTCTTTGTGCTTGACAGGCTTCGAGAACGGCTTCCATGGTAAACACTGCGCGCGCCGTCCCATGTCGTGAGCAACCCCTCCCTGTCGCGATCGCGGACATGGGACCTGGGTTCGTAAATGTTCCGAGCGAGGCGTTCGCAGTGCGGAGAAACCCTGGGAGCATGCTTGCTGGCCTTGCTCACGACCAGGGAGATAGGTCAGGTACCGAGCGACCATCAACTCTATTCCAACGCCGCTCCAAACTGGTTTGTCGGGCACTACACAATACCACTGCACCGCCGGTGCACACGGCTGGCGCATGCGGCTGCGTATGCACTCGATCCGAAGCGTCAACCTGATGCCGTCTTGCGCATTCTACACTCGACGACGATAATTACCCTCACCTTGTGCACGCCCAAATCTCCCTGAACGCACTCAACACTTGGTCCGCCACGGCGCCTCTCGACGCATTGACGGCCGGCCACGCCTGCACTAGTCGCGCGACATCTGGCAGGTCCAGTGTCGATCTTGTAAGCGACCTTTTTGTGTACGCATGCCGTGTTACATCGGCTTTCTGTTCATAGTCCATTTACGACGGTTAGTCGTCGCTGTTCCTCCACACTGTAGCGCAAGCCCACGGCCTGACGGGCGGCGTGCATGTCGGGGGCCCATCAGCTGGTTTGGCCCGTCGAGCGACTCGTGCGCATCGCTTGCTCCCCTGTCCCACCGCATCCTCGAATCCTGCTTGTGTGACGTTTGCGAGAACGCTCGCTCGCTAGCTGGCAGCCTGGTCTTTGTCCAATGCCCGTCGTTGGCAGGCTCGGCTGGTCGCTGCCGTGCGGATACATGGCTGACAGGCCATGGGCACGCTTGATCATACTACTTACCTGACTCTGGTCGTGGCCGTTGTCCACCCGCGGGAAGCAGGGGTGCAGGCCTGCTCAATAACGGTCGACGATCACAATGGACAAGCTGTGCGATACTGCCGCACATGGATCCGACTCGTCCCGTTGGCCCTCCTGTCTAGCGCAAAAGGCTGAGAAAAATCGCTACACACACACCACACACACACCACCACACCCCGCTGCGCCTACCGCATTCCCCGATTCGCCCTGCCCACACACTTACCTAAGTACATATGTACTATGTGCGTCTCCGGATTGCACAGTAATCTTTAGACCTGCCTTTTCTGTCGTTTCTTGAAAACCCAAATCCAAGGCTATCGCCCCAGCCGCAGTGTATACATACCGGGAAATTTACTGCTTATCGAGCAAAAAAAACCTAGACTCGGTCCATCAGGCAAGTGATCGACACGTATGGTAAGCTCGTCGTCACGACAATGTTTGCAATAATGCGATCCAGTGACGGGAGATTTCTGCCCACGGACACCGTCGCGTAAACAAGGATAGTTAGTAGTAGGCCGTGGTGAGAAATCTAGGCCTCTGTCGCTTCATCATACTTGCACCAACAGACACGAACGAACAGTGACGGCGCGACATCTCGTCACGACCACGCTGAAAAAGAAAAAGAACAGTTTGACAACTAATCTTGGTAACGCAAAACCCCCAAGCCACGAACCTGGAGCGACGATCTCCTGGGCCCCTCGACCTTGCTTCCCGCTGCTTCCCCTTGAGGGTTGTTGCCATTGCAGCCTGGGAGGGTATCCGATCCCCCAACTTCTAGGATTAATCGTACTGACCGGGGTGCTTGTTTCGCACGGGAATGCCGAATACGATGCTCAGTGTACTGCAATATGTCAATACGTCGGTATTTCGCCATGTGTGTAGATACATACTCAGTATGTACATGCGTAATCAGATGAAGAGTGGTCATGACACGACCTCAAATTTCGCGGGCCATTTGCCAAATGGACTAGACCTTCGTTCTGCTTTGAAATGGCCATGCCTCCAGCCGAATTTTCAGTTGCGAACGTTACTGCATAAGCGGCATTTCTGACAGGCAACGCTACGCGGTTGATTGGCTCGACATATGCCGGCTTTAATCATGAGACGAAGTGGACCGTACCATCCCAGCCGATATGTCAGACTTGCGACAAGGTCATGCTGGTCTCCCGCACATACCCTGTGCATACCACGCCGGCAGACGCCACGGATTCGAACGGACACTTGGTGGCAGTGGGAAGATTTGGCCATGAGCTGATTGCTGCAGCAAGTCATCGAGGAGGCCAAGTAGTCCTTTCAATGATGTCAATAAGCGCTAGCTGCCGAGTCGCTTCAGCAGGCTGCGACAACAGGATCTGGCCCGCCTCGGCCTACCAGCCATCTAGACCCATCCCTGCGCATCCTCTTCCCATCGCACTCGCTCTGCTGCGATATTCCTTGCAGATTTCAACATGGACACTACAAATGGTTTGTAGAATGGTAGGAAGATATACTACCTGCCCAGCGTACGACAGTAGACGAGGCTGAGCTCGACAACCAATCACAATGTTTAGGAGCTACTAATCTTCTGACGATTAATACCGGAGCATATATTAGAAACTCATCGCGTCATGATTAGTCGTGCGCCATTGACTGGATGCTGAACTCGCGCATTTTTCACATGTTACATCCACTCCATTGGAAACTGCGATACGGCCCTCCTTTTTCTTTTGGCTGCCTATCACGCCCTCTACACTGGCCTTGGGCGAGAAGATGGCAATGCGCGACGGCCACTGGTCAAAATCTTGTTGTTTCTTTTCGCACAATGTCCCTCGACACCGCATTGCATGCGCCCCTCCTGCCTGATCCTGCAAGAAGCAATTCATCGGATGCGTCGCATGGCTGATTCGAACCACATTACATTCGGGCCTTTTGATGGAAAGCAGCGCGCGCTCTCCGCAAACAATGCCTAAATCAAGTTGACATCATATTGTCTTCGTCTTCGACCCCGAACGGTGCTGGTGACTGGTCTCTGCCTGCGTTTCACGATACTTAGCGGCCTTCTAGCAGCCTTCTGGAATGCGTCCTTAGTAATTGTACTCGCCCATGTCTACTTACGCGCTGCTCGAGTCGCTCGCGTTGCTCGAGTCGAGTACCCTCGTGCAACAGCCTCAATATCCTCCCTTTTCCGTTTCAAACTACGGCAGCCCATGCCATCATCCCGTCCTTGGCGAATTACCTTATCTGGGTAGTATCGCGAGTCGCGACACCTAAACGTACACGCAAACGGGATCAGACCGATATATCCTCAGGCCAGCACCAGCTATCGCGCGGCCTGTGCCAAAGGACAAAGCGCTATACTTAGTTGATGCTCCTGCAAGAGCACACGTATCGCTTGGACGTCTCACAGACATGATCTTCGCCTTGTCCACTTTCTACTTGGACCGCTGGTTGCGACTACCGCCGCACTCCATGTCCCACGCGTATAGCGTGTAACAATAGACCAAGCGAATCAAATGGGGGCAACGCAAAAGTCACTCCACAACACCCCCGAAACTTATTACAGGTGGCTGGGGGATTGTGATTCCAAATCATTTTTTACACTCACTTTGCCTCTGTTTCCCGCCACGATGCTGAGACTGTTGCATCCTCAGGATATGCAAAGATAGGCTCGTCCAATAGTTGCGCATAGTCGCGAGAATACGCGATACATGAGATGAATCGGACAACACCAAGCCTCACGGAGGGCTATTTTTAAGGTTTCACCAAACGTTGACTGACATATTGGAGAACGTTCTCAAACTCGCGTTTCACGATTGGGGAATGCATTGCCAGCCTAAGCAAAAATCGCCTGACCCCTCTGAAGAAAACAGCTCCGTGGTGGAAACTGGGATATTGCTGGTAGCAGCCCGGTATAGCCGACCTGGGACTCTACTCGACTGGGTTCCCCTAACCATGTGCGGGATCGAAAATCGCCCGATCTTTCCTTCCGTCTGTACGAGAATCCCGTTGGGTATTCATCGGAAGTCACAACTGTCGTGTCCAACTGTATGCAGGGTTGTTCCCCGGATGCGCGTCAAAAGACTTGAAGTAAATCTCGAGCGTGGTGCAATCATGGTTCCAAACAGAAGCAGACATAGATGCGCGTGACCCTTTTCATCTTGACGTGCTGTACGAACGGCTCGGTGAAATGGGCATTTGGCAACGCGCGACGGTGACATACCAATTCTTGGGGCTGTGAAGACTGCGTCCACACGCGGCCTGTTAGGCTTCGAGGAACGTTGCTCCGTCTGCTCGATTCTCTTACACTTCAGGTGCCGAAACAAGATTATCATTAGAGCATTCGTGTCCATTTCTCAATGTACCCAGAGACCCTTCCATCTCCCCCCGTCTCGAGTACCCACAAAAACTAAACAGTCTCAATAGCATGATGTCTTTTGGGTATGCAACGGTTCAACTATAATTTACGATCGACCCTTATTGCCGGGTATACCGGTACGTGATCATTACCCAAAGCTGATTGTTTTTTACCCTTTCTTTTCGCTTCCGCTCCCACCTGATATCCTTTGCTATCGGCCCAGCCAAATGTACGCGTCACAACCCCCGCTCAAGTCAGCCCAGCCCGATTACGCGGAACTGAGTTTTACCAAGAAGATCAGCAAATCTGATGTTGTCATTCGGCCCTGCCGCGCAGTTCCGACGAGAGAGCCCTTGCGTCTGGACCCACTGTAAGATGTTAAGGATAGAACAGAGATAGAGAGAGAGAAAGAGAACGCGAAGGAAAAAACAAGTGAAGCGAATGACACGCAAGTGTGCGGGGAAAGGACGACATGACTTGGGCAATTTATGCGTATCTATTGGCTGGTATTTGTAGCAGCATGTTCCTGGTCAATGGGATAGCCCACCCAGCCAGCCAGGCGTCTAGGGGGGCCATAAACAAGGCATATTCGGCAGTCTTTTGTGGGGCACCCAACGACATCGACCCTCTCTTTTTTTCAACCCATCAGTCAGTTCTGTTTGTCTGACGCAAGCAAGTCCAAAAGTAAGTAATCAAAGCGAACGTGCAAGCAATCAAGGAATCTTATTGTCATCTACGCCCGTTGAACAAGCTTCTCGGGGGCCATAGTAAGCAAATTTTGGCAGGTAAATCTAAGTTTCCTGCAGCCATTCATCTTCCTTTCCCACTTTGTTGGGAATTGAATCTCGTCAGAGGGTTCTCGCTCCGTCGTGTCGAGCATGGGTGAGAGTGGGGAGAGGGAGGCTGGGGGGGGGGTGGAAGGGAACGAGCGCGGCCTGTCTCGGGCCTGTTTCTGGTCTCCCCCCTGCCCTGTCAATGTCAATACCGGCAAGTGTGGGAATGGGCTTTTGCTTCCTTCCAACCCCTAGTGCCCATCATCAGCAAGGCCTAAGGCCCAAGACCCAAGGTCCGGCTGGGCTATTGACCATGGACATGGGGGGTAGTGGATGGGGAGGGGGGAGGGGGAAGGGGGGCATTATGGCACGATTTGACAGCTGATATCCACCGTGTCATCGGGCCTTATACCCCCCCGCCTTGAACGAGATAAACCTCGCTGACTTTCCCAGGCCATGTGCCGATCTTACAGCCTGGGTCTCAATGGCTCAAAGATCATGGACAGCGAGTTTAGGTTCGTATTGGCTAGGCTTTAGCCTGTCCACCCCCCTCCCCTTTGTCCGGAGATTTACCCTATGCAGTAAGGGGGGCGAAGGAAGGATGCATGCATGCCTACTACATACGAACAATACTGCATTTTGAACCCAAACACTTTTGTTGGCAAATTAGTTCTCCGGTCTCGTTGAGAAATAGTAAGAATACTCGAATACTCGACTCTGGCCCCCTCCAACATCTCTATCTCATCACTCCTTACACACTAAATAGGGAACTTCGAAACCCAGGCTACTTGGCCTTGTAGCCGCCCAACAGATAGTCATACATATGTAAATCAATCTAGGACTGCAGAAATACATGCACATGCAATGTCTGTCTAACTATCTACCCTGTCGATCAATAGAAAAAAAGTCTGAAACTTGCGTGTGTAAACTCTCCATCATCACAATACTTACATCCATCCACTCTTAGTAATGTATATGCAACTGAGCAACTTCTCCACCCTCAGCACAACCCTATTTTAATACACAGTCACACAGTCACACACACACACACACGTAATGAGTGGTATAGTATTTCATCAACCAAATCACCCAGCATAAAACAAACTTCACCCTCCCCGGTATAAACCCCCAATACGATTCATTGCCCCATAACCATCCTACGTTCTTCACATC